GCATGTGCTAACCTATGCAATACCGTTCAGAAATAAGGTAAAAGTACTCAGACTCAAATGTTTGCTGATTACAGTATGTTTACTGTTGGAAGTAAGTTACAATAAACCTTAAAATTAATAGTTTATGAAATATGTTGAATGTGATAAACTTTGGTAGAAAGTTGGGTAGGAACTACTTATACTTGCTTGTAAGAATGGAGTGAAGAGAGGGTACTGCCCTACAGGCAACAAGGAGCCGACTCAACTCGTCAGCTGAATGATCGTTCTAACTAAATTCGTACTCGTTCAACAGGTCTGTTAAGCTCATCATCAGACGTACGAGATTAAGTAATTCCCTTCATGCTTTTTCTTGAGTTACTAAACCTTGATGACCCCAGACTAACAGGTTATGATTGGTAGTTTCGTAACCTAGCTTTCACGCATACAGGCACACATTTCATCAATTCAACCAAAGTTTCTTACGGGTTTGCACAATTTCGGTCAGGCTTTTTCTTGGGTCGGTATGCCTTGATGTATCTATGTACCAATGTACCTGGTTTGTATGTATGTATGTATGTATGTATGTATGTATGTATGTATGTATGTATGTATGTATGTATGCATAATGTATGTATGTATGTATGTATGTATGTATGTATGTTTGTTTGTTTGTTTGTTTGTTTGTATGTATGTATATATATATGTATGTATGTATGTATGTATGTATGTATGTATGTATGTATGTATGTATGTATGTATGTATGTATATAGGTATGCATGCATGTATGCATTTTTGTATGTGGGTATGTATGTATGCACAAGCTTCAATCTTCCTATCTTAATCATTGTTGTCTATGGACATATGCAATCTCGGTCAGGCTTTTTCTTGGGTCATTACGCCTTGATGCATCTATGTGCATATGTATGTATGCGAAAGTTTCAATTTCCTTAGCTCAACGATAGTTACCTACGGACATACAAAATCTCGGTCAGGCTTCTCCTTGGACCATTAAGCCTTGAAGACCCAAGCCTGATATTAGGCTTTTGTAATTACTCCGATTTAGGACAGGTATTGTCTGCCAACTTTAACACACAAGAGCAAGCACACAGTCACACATGTATAAGTACCATGAGTAAAGTGAAATTGGACTAACAATATCATTCTACATTTATATATCAATATATTTATATTATCATTTTTAGTTGTGAGTATATATAAGATGTAAAATTAGAGGTGTACACTCTTCTTGATCTAGTGTTAGCCTTATACTTTTACACAACTAAGTTATATGAGCTGTTTTCATCCTATTTCGTTTAAGACTATGAAGGACTGGTAGTTGAATTTTCTCATTGACATGAGTAAAGCCGATGTTTTTCATTGAAGTTAGCATAACTTTGCTTTCCCAAAAGATGTTTTCATTTAGGAGGGACTGCATTTTCGACCTCACATAGGTCTTATCAACACCCCAAGGGGGATTCAAACCGTGATAGTTCAGCGTCTAAGCTCGGCACCTTAACCACTACACCACCTTGCCACGAGTGCTCTTGGGTCACAGAGTAGATGTGAATTTCAAGGATTGTCAGGCATTTTCGATATCACATTGTGTGTTGGTATTGTCAATGAAGCAAACTTATATTTGCTATAGCAATCGAGGACATTACTTTTTTCGTGAATGAGTAGGTTTTCTAGACTACTCATGTATCTGATTTACTAGTAGACTATAAAACCCATTCACTCACGGAAAAAGTAATGTCGTTGATTGCTACAGCACATATAAGTTTGCTTCATGTACAATACCAACACAGAATGTGATATGAAAAATGCCCGACATTCCTGCTCTGTGATCCAAGGGCACAGAATGATTAATGTGTCGAGCTTACTCGCAGCACTGTCATGGTTCGACTCCCGCTTGGGGAGTTGTCAAGAGTTTGGCGAGGTCAAAACTGCAGTCCACTGGTGTCTGGATGAGAACACCTTTTGGGAAAGCAAGGCTATGCGAAATTCAATGGAAAACATCAGCTCTACTGATATCATTGTGGGAGAATTCAGCAACCAGTCCTTCATCACCTCAACGTAATAGCGTGACAGCAACTCATATATATATGAGGACAATCAGCCAATTACAGCACAATTTTAAAATATATTATTATTAGTAGTAGTAACTCTAGTATTATAAGCATCATCATTAGTATGGTTACATGCCAAATATGTCATAATCATGAAGCCATGCTCACAAATTGCACTCTTGCCCATCATTCTTAGCAGCTCATGTGTTTTTCGCCTCCCTGCAATGACGTCTGTCCTCCCTGCAATGACGTCTGTCCTCCCTGGTCGGCCTGGTTCAACTGTAACTCGTCCGACTGTCGAGCCGGCATCGGCACCGTCTCACGGAAGCGTGTCTGCTTTTGTGACAAAGTGGCCGACTCGCAGTCGCAAGTGTTCCAGTCCAAGATGGGCATGTGCCACGAGACCTCGGCCTGTCGTACAGCCTGCGCGGGCCAGTCCGTGTTCGCAGAACGCCTTGAAGAAGACGACGCCAGAAGCGGCAGTGGCGCTCAGCCATTCCCCCATTGGCTGACCTATTTCGTGATCGCCTTCTGCATCGTCATCTTGATCGTCGGTCTCCTCCTGTTGTGTCAGTTCTTCCATCGTCTCTTCTCGCCCAAACTACGACAACAGCCGAGTCCCGGCCAGCCTGCCGCCCTATTAAGACCCGCCGGCCTGCCCACCGTCACTCGAGCCCTGTCCGATCTCTCCGCCTTCACCAACCTCATGCTGCAGCCTCAGATGGCCGTCGTCTCGAGTCGAGTCCCGTTCGCCGCCACGCCCGGGCTCAGTCTCGACGCGGCAGGAGCCACGTCGCGATTCAACCTCAGCATGTTGCCTGTGCCCGGCCAACTCTTCAATCCGGCCTTTCGCCATGACGACGGCCACGATGGGGTCCTGCCCGCCGGTCTCCCCGACTACTATGCCCTGGAAGTGAGCAGCTCGGATAGCCTTCGTGGTCTGCCACCCTCCTACGAGAAGGTGATCGAGATCATGCAACAGGCCCTGCCCTCGGCCGATCCTCGCGTCCCCATGCACCCGGAATCGGCCGTCTCGGCCGTCGGTGCCAGCAGCGAAGCGGATTTCGCGGTACCGCCGACAACTGACCCATTGGGCAGACGCGCCGACTCCACGGCCGGGGACATTTGTCGGTGTCCTGTCGTCACCTCGTGTCTGGAGGCGGTGGAGGCTGAGGTGGAGACGCCCGCGTCGGGGGCGGATGGCGCGAGCTGGATTCCCGGCCCGGCCAGCACGGCCGGATCTGCCGGCAGACAGAATCTGGCTCTGCTCCCGAGGCGGCATCCCGTCTTGTAGTCGACTGTCGGCCGGCGAACAACGGCCAGCTTCATTTGGCGTGCCCTCGGCTTCAGCTGAAAAGGATACAGTTAGCGGACTTGGAGTCCGTATTTCTGTCGAAACTAGATTAAACCAGACTCACACGCTACAACAGGCTACAGAAAATGCCATACTTATTTAGCGACAGATTTCAATCACACAATCTCTCACAGAATGTCGCAGCCTTACCAGGAGCCAACCCTGAGCTGAGGTGCACTTCGCAATCTGGGTTGCATAGAAAGCATTTATGTTCTACGATGCCTACTTATGCTTCGATGTGTATATACTCTACTCGTTTACCTCGTCTGTCTCTTATTCATTTTTTACAAGCCTCATTGACAAAAAATGTACACATAGTTGATCGACTACAAGTAGCAAAATATGCAAAGCAAGTTCATGACTCTTTTCCCACCAGAATCGCTACATCAGTGTGCTAGATCTGAGTTGAATTGAGGTAGACTTGTTGGCTCTCGTGTCAGTTCGTTGGACGGCAACAGCAGCCGAGTTATTGCGCTTCTAGACTAAGCACTTTTTGGTCTCTTAACAACAAATTCAGGTTGCTGACTTTAACGTCCATTAGTAAATTTTGCAGATATAAACTTAGATCCAATAGCTTCTTTTATTGTTGAACTTACTTCCATTTGGAGTAAAAGTGTTTAGTGAGTTGTTAGCTTTGATAATGTTCGTAATATGAGGGACGAAAGCTTGGCACGTTCTCACCGGAATCGAAGGAGATTACCTCGGAAACAGCGTCAACATGAAGGTTCCAGCTGGTCAAGAGGAATCTGCCGCCCTCTTCTGGTGCGATTGACCTTTGAATCTCTTCACCAAACACTTTTAGTCGAAATGGAAGTAAGCTCAACAATTATGTAACAAGAGATTCATCGAAGCCCAACTTTTCATCACAGCTTCTTTTATCCCAAATCTTTTTCATGCCTACGCACGATTTCTGACTAGATTCCCCTTATAATGCTTGACGCTCATCTCTGGCGGTTTCGGCACTGCTTACGTTGACATCGTGATTAAAAATAAATGCATCTGACACGGGTTAAGGATTTCAGTTGGATACCCCCAAGGGTATGGGGGGAATGAATTAGAGTCTTCTGTCTGCCCATTTACCCGACACCTCACCGAATACTTCCTAATATTTGAAGCATTGTGCAAGACCCGTGGCACAAACATGTAAGATCTGATGGCAAGAATAATCGGAAAGGAATTTTTTTGAAGCCGTATCCATCTATAATAGCGGGAAACGGGAAGGTAGGTTCTAACACTTTATACGGATGATTCAGCAACTGCATTTGGATAAGTGAAGATGAGTTCAGAATAGCAGTTTTACAGGTGGTTGCATAAAAGTTACTGTGAATTTTATGGTACAAAAAAACCGTTTTGGTTGGGGCTTTTACACATGCATCGTTTTACAGGCAAGTTACTAAGGGAACCGTACAATTTTCCGATATTTACCAATCAAGTTAAGAGACGCATGGTTTAAAAATATATCGGATCTATCCTGGTGACTGTGTGGAGTTATGCTGAAATAAATCGAGTATCAGAATTGCGGCTTGGTCTGAACACGCTTGTCGGGATGGAGAATTACTGGTTGCAAGATTCTCTAAATCGGGTAAATTGTGTTACGCTAAAAATTCGTGCAACTATAGATTACCTTAACCACTTATTCCGATTGCCCTCCGGCTAAAGGGTCAAGAGGAATTTAATTCATGGTGCAAAAGTTTTCATCAACTATTCATTTGACTAATATTCATTAATGAAGGCTCTGAATAAGTGTGAAAATGCCATAGATTTATTAATA